GGTGGGTTGAAACCCCTGCCCATAGTGGCCTCTGAGCCAAGTGAGATTGAGCGATGGGTTCAAAATGTACATGCCTCCAAAAAGTGGTGGTACCATCTGCCACACCCCACTTACTATTGCTCTTTCTATCCCTCCCCTCCCACTGGTTTCCGTTGTCTCAGTGGAGCGTCTGTGACTGTAAGACCTCCACAGGGGTGAGTGGGGTGTGCATCACCTCCCCCCAGCAAAACGGGAGCAGGAGGCCCAACCCAGCAGCTCCCCAGGCATTAACCCAGCACCAGCAATCCCTCAGAACCTCAAGGCCATGCAGTAGCCCCCAGACTGCATAGGAAGCCTTGGCAATTAGTACAGCCATTCATAGCCACTTTCCCTTTTTTTCCTCCAAAAAATCAAAGCAACTAAGAGGATTATTAAACTGCCAGAAACCAAAAAGTTTCCTTGGAGAGTGGCTGGTTGGTTGCTCAACAGGGTAAAAATTCTTCTGTATATGCCAAATGTTGCTACTGGACATGGGTGACTGCAGTACTGCATGCAGCTATGGGGCACACTGCAAGGTCCAGGCTCCCCAGTGCTTTGGTCACCCCATGCTGCGTTGCTGAGGCTGGTCAGTTTTACCCTGCCCTGAGAGCCACCGCTTTGGCTGGCTGCCTCCTTAACCAGCAGTTCAAATGCACAAAGCACATCATTATCTGCAGCTGAGTACGGTGGGGTCCTTCTCCTTTGATAACAGTGCATTTGTTTTCAGGCTATGAGTGCAAGTGTGTTATGGTGTTCATGTTTAGCCAGCAAGCCTCTGGTGGCCTAGACCTGTATGGTGTCTCAAGGAGGAACCTCCTTTCTGTGGCACAGCAACATTTAATGGGAACTGCCACACTTGAGAGGCAAAAGGGCAAACCAGCTTCAGTCACAGATGGTGTTGCCCACAAAATCTATCAAGATGTCACAGAAGTCCAACTTCCAGCCCAGATGTGACAGCCACCAATGCTAGATCGGGTCAGTTGAGGTCTTGTCTAGCTGAGTCTCAAAAACCTCCATGGGTGGAGACACTGCCGCCTCTATGGTGACAAACCTCCTGGTGACATTTTTTTCTCTGATGACCAGCTTAAAACTCTCAAAACTGCCTGTTGCCTCTTCTTCTTCTGGCCATTTCTGTGTAGTGCAGCTTGGCTCCACTGCCTTTCTAACTTCTCTCCATGCATGTGTCAGCTGCTATCAGGTCTGGGCCTGGGCCTCTTTCCGGGCCTGGGCCTCTCTCTCCAACAGGCCCACATCCCTCAGCCTCCCCTCGCAGACCCCTTCCATCTTGGTATCCTGCTACCAGTTCAGTTTCCAGACACCCCTCTTGGAACTGGGAGGAGGTCCAGTGCTGGAAACAACACTCCAGTCAGTTACAGCCATTGACTACGTCAGGGCCTTGAGGGCACCACTAGGACTGACTGCACCTGCCTGATCTCTGTCTATGATCCAGGACCCCACAAGCAGACTTGCTTTAGAAAGGGCACTGAAACCCTTACCCCAACAACCATCTTCTGCCTGAAGCTAGAAGGTATTGTTTTACAGTCGAAAATAGTCTGTTTCTTCCTTGGGACCAGATTTTCAGAAATGTAGTCTTCTTGCTTCCCTTTAAAAAGTGACATGGCACAACACTCCACACCCTCAATTTTTAGAGACAAACTCCTGGCTCTCCTGTGAAAGCTTTTACCACTGACCTGAGCTCACCTCAAATCTTTCTCCAAGAGCAAGCCAGCTTCAGGCACCGCATGGTCCCCTCCGCAGCTCTTGAACCCCCAAAACGAAGGCTTGCTGCTGCTCTTTTGCAGAAGGTGAGCAGAGCACCTGGCACCATGAATACGCTGGGATTAGAACCCATTAATTCCTACATTCACGGTTTTTCTGTGACAGCTGAGGTCAGAGCCATGGCAACACTCTTTTGTCACTGAGTCACCATGAGTTCCTTCTTCAAAAACACCCCACTGCTCACAATATTTTAGTGGAATTAAGTGTGTGTGTGTGTGTCACTCTTGCAATGCGATCAATATTTAAGATCTCTGAAGAGTCAACCCAGGGCACTGAATCAAATTCCTTAGAAAATTTAAATATACTAAACTCGGCAGAACTATCTACTCATCTTATTTATCGCATCCACTGTTACAACTTATCACATGAGTAAACACACTGTCCTTCAAGTTATTTTGATATATGCTATGACTGAGCTGTTATACAAACCTTCCAGGTTTCAGTGGCTCCTTGTCAATGACAAGAGACATTTCTCAGGTTTTATCTACAGTTCCTTACCTAATCAGTCAAACTATACTTTAGGGTTCAACTGCAACTATAATTTCATTTGGCTTTGTTCCTTGTAAAGGTATACAAGGCATTATTTACCTTAGAATATAATAGTCTCGGACCTTGTTGATACAACAGATTTTTGAAAACGCTACCCACCATGAATTAAAGAATACTTACTTCAATCTTCATGAGCAACACTGTGAGCCTTGCTGTTAAACATGCACCTACAGCTTTAAAGCATGACATGGTATAGTCCTGCTTGAGGGAAATCTGATGAACAAGATGTTGAAAAATTAGAGTTGTGTTTGACAATGATGAAAAGGCGTGGGAAAAGCCAACGTCTGGAATATGTGCAAATAAAAGTGTATTTCGCTGGAATTGGAGCAGAAATGTGTGTCTTGAGACTCTTCTATAAAAATACCTTGGCTTAAGCATGCAAAACCTCCATGCAAGCACACTACTGTAGTTCCTGCATAAGGATAACCCACCTTCTGCGCTGGTAAACGAAGGTCTTACAGGTGGCCATAATCTTCATCCCCCTTACAAGGTCTACCATATTTGAACTGCTCAAACACAGCTTGCTCATTAGTCTTGCATAACTTCTTTTTTTGGTCTAAAACACCTCCAAATCTCAGCCACTGATCTTTGGACAGTGTTTTAATTTGGAAATGCTGGTATCCTTTTTTGAGATCACCTCCAGCCACATTTTGGATGACCACACATGAACCATTCACCAGAAGCACACTGTTTTACCATATCGCGATTGCAGCCTTCCTTTTAGCCCTGGACCCACGGTGACAGGCAACAGCAGCAGACATGTGTCAAACCTGGCACACAGAGAGGAGAGGGATTCTGCCAAAAAATGCACCCTGCTCAGCAATCTTTTCCTCTCACAGGAACTGGAGGAAAACTTGTTTCTGCTCCCACCTTCAAGTATTTACAACAGCGATTTTATAGCCCTAATTTATGTTCTTCCACCTTAGAAGTGAGTGTCACCAAGTATGCCTACAATGTCATCAATGCTGCCTACACTTTCTGCACATGTGCAAACATCTCCTACACCTTGACCTCCAACAGTGACTGTAATAAAGAAATGTCAGTTTTGAGATAGTCCATGTTAAATAAACTTTCCAAAAGGTTTGTTAGGAGGAGGGGCAACAGCCAAATTAATCAGAGAGGAGAGAGCCCAGTCCTTTTCCCGCCGTTTGCATGAAAATGGCCATGGCTTACAGCTGGCTGAGAGTTAATAACAGCAGCAAACAAATCAGGCTTGTAGCCTTCATTATTTCTCCATCATATATGAAGGTCTACGGAGACTTAATATACTTAGAAATGCATAATTCCTGGTTATCATCTCTGCAGACCTATGAGGGATACTGGGTCACTGCGTGAAGTCCCTGCCTCCCTGGCAGCCAGTCATGTCCCACTCTTCCTCTGCTGCCACCTAAAGAGCTCCCCAGGTGCAAAGACCCATGTTGGTAAAGAGGAAAGGTACTCGGAGCGCTGCCCTCTTCCCCACCACATATGCAGCTTCTCTCTTTGGAGGAGAAGACTTAGGAGCACATGAACAGGAGAGGCAAAGGCTTTGCCTCTCTTGGGACACAGCTGCAGCTGTGATGAGCCAGGATGCTCTCCTGCAGCAGGGACTTGGCCCAAACAGCTCCCAGCCTCTTCTGGGGACACTGACTTTTCATCTTTCTGATACAAGGAAAGAAAAGGCACAAACCCAACTCCAGTGGCATTTCCACCTGCAGGTCTATTTTTATGCTTCTGCTGGACATGGCGCAGATCTGCCAGTCATGACAAACCTGACAGGTCCTGATACAGAGGCTGGCAGAAATGTGTCCTTAGGTTTTCTGCACATGCCACAGCCCTGACTCACTTTCTGCGATTACAAGAAGACAGAGACAACCTGGCAAGCCCAGAGCAAACAAGTAATATCAGCAGCATGATGCATACATTTACAGGCATCATTACATTCCTCAATTAGGATTACAACTAAAAAATTTCCAAGTAAAACAAGGTGTGTGAGCATAGAAAAGAAGTCAATACCTTAGAAATTATTCCTGACACAGGGAATGTGTCAACAGGCATCTCATCCTGACCACAGAATAATCACTTACCCAAAATTTACCACGTGTGTTGGTGCCATTGATCTGGTTGATCAAAAGAATGGGAATCAGCATCATCCAGTGGCATAAAAAAAAGGTTGCTTGAGAAACTCCATTTTACCAAACATTAATGCAATCATCAACTTAAGGGGGTGTGGGGAAAGTGCCGAACATGGACATTCAGTGAAAGAAGCTGCCTGTTCACGTGCAGCCTGTGGTATTCTCCCAAAATTACAGTTTGACCTACACAAACCAGAAATGGTGTCTAAAACCCATTCTGGTTAAGAGCTTAAAGGAAAGAGCAGTAACCTTACAGTAAGCAACATGTCATGAATGGGTAAATGGAAATTACAGGCCTCGAATACAAATGGCAAGTTAAAAGGTGTGTCTGACCGATAGGGGAAGCTGAAGGAATTACTGAAAGGTTCCACAGCCTTACAGACAGCAGGAGCTTAGGGGAGGCATGGGGCTATTTCAGGAGGCAGGGAGGAAAGTCAGGAAGAGCAAAGCAGATATATCAGCTACCTTCAGCATCTACTTCTGATTGCTATCCTATTTCAGGATGGGTCCCCTTATGGAAAAATACTGATGCACAGGCACCTTCCACAGCCACCATGTTTACTTTCAGCCTTCCCCGAACTGGGAAAGCTCTGCAGCCGCAGGGTGTGAAGAGGAGGAGTGGCCGATAAGCCTCTGGCCCTGATTTCCACAACACTGACTCAGAGCGGACCAGCTCCCTCGAAGCTGTCATTGCCACCACACCACCACTGGCCTGCCGGGAAGGTTGCGACCAGCCTGACTTTGCAATTTGGCGGATCAGCAGGCGGGCAGGGGCCAGCAGGTGCATGGCCATAGGCAGGCTGGCTTGGGGTGAGGGGTGGCATGGCACTGTGTCCCCTCCGGCTGCCATCACGCATCCTTCTTCTCCACTGGGAGCCAGGCTGGATGGGGTGTAGCTGTGTGCAGCAGCACGAGGCCGCAGAGCGTCACGATGAGGCCGACCCACCACAGAGGTGTCCACGTCTCCCCGAACAGGAGCTTGCCCAGGATGGCCTGAAGGAAAAGACAGAGATAAAACTTTACTGGGTTGAGCCGCCCCAAAACCTCCTGTGCTGCCAGAGCTGCAGGGACTTCTGGGGCAAGAGTTGGCCTGGGAAAAATCTGCTTGGGGAAACTCCCGCTGGGACCACCAAGAGAAATGGTGGTCCCATCACCTGCAGCAGGCGGGTGATGCTGCAGATGACCAGCTCTAGAATCCAGCCTGGAAGCACAACCATAGTGTGGTCCCAAAACAGGATTTTGGTGGATGCATGTGTGCTTTGCTGCTTTTCCAGCACCTCTCGGGAGCCAAATGTCCAGTTGACTGGGCAACTCCACATAAAAAAAGGGCTCCACTGACTTGAGTTTTGGACACCACCATGAGCTGGCTGTGAGTTGTCAGAGCACAGAAACAAAGTTGGACAGCTGCCGAGAGTGAAAAGCGAGCAGAAAAAAACCTGCAGGACAAAGACACTCTTGCTGTCACTAGAAGGCGGTGCATCCTCACACCCAGCTGGGATGGCTTTGGCTTGTTACACTGGAGGTGTTGCAAAGGGAATGCAAAACAAAGCAAAGCTCCCAGTTTCGGCTCTCACTGGCAATTAGAAAAGCACAGTGGACCGTACAGCTGCTCTAAGGCACCGTGTTCAGCAGCAGCGCCCTTCCTCCTGCACCACCCAGAAAAGCCATACAGCCTCTGCCACAAACGACAGGCAGAGCAGCTGAGGCCCAATACAATCATTTCATGTCTGCCTGTAACTTTGCAGCCAGCTATGCTGGTACCACATCAGTGTGACTGTTTCTGCTGCCTTCAGCAGCTGGGGGAGGGATCTACTCACCGAAGAGATGAAGTTGGAGGCCGTTGTTGTCACAGAGGCAGAGGCCGAGGAGGAGGAGAGCCGCAGTGCTTTTGCAAAGACTGTCCACATGACCGTGTTGCATGCAAACACCAAGCCGACACAGCCGAGGCGAAGCAGCACATGCAGCTGTAGGATGAAAGGCAAAACCTCACCTATTTTCACTGACCACTCATTCACCCTCACTAATTCATGGGCACTTTGGAGCAAAACCCAATGGTGTGGGCTCAAAGCTGAATTACAGCTGGTATTAGATGAAGATGAATCTATTAAATCACAGAAGGAAGAAAACAGCCCTGGATGGACATGCCCTGGAGGCATGTCCAGCCTCAGACTGAGGAGCACCAGGACAGCATACAGTAGCTGCCATGCCAGAAGCCAAACTCCAGAAAGCTCTCCAGCTCATGATGTGGTGCACGGCCGATGCAGTGAAATGCCCTTCACTTATCGCCAGATGTGTGGAAAAGGGTCAAATTCTGCCACAGACAAACACCAAAGATGTATGTGTGCAGTCCCGGACCCATCTGTTGTGAATCTGGGCTGAGACCAGTGTGGTCCTCACCACTTCCCATGACCTGGCCTGCCCTACTACTGCAGCAAGGGCAGAGCAGGGTCCGCTGGAAGGCAAGTCAGAGCTGCGAGGCTTCGTGCCTTATTTTGCACGCTCGATGGAGAGCAGGCTTACTCAGAGCTCTCTGCTCCAGCATTTAGCAGCAACAAAACCACCTCTGCGTTCAAGGGCCATTGAGGCCAACTAGGTTCTTAAGAAGGAGAACCTCTCCCCCCCTTAGACAACCTGACATGTAAAAGCCTCAGCCTGGAAAAACTGCAGAGTTATGTCTAAAAAGCCTTCACCATTCAGAGTCTCCCCCCACATCCATAGTTTTAGGTACTATGGCCATCTTCCTAGCCCCCAGGTGTCACAAACTTGATGCAAAGACACCAAGGGAGGAAATCACAGTCAGATCATTGAGTCACACAAACACTCAGGGAACGCCAGACTTTGTCTAAGCCCACAGGGATCTTGCCTTCATGGCCCATCACCTCTCTGAGTCCATGGGGAAGATCCATCTTGAAGCAGACAGAGATGTATGTGTGAAGCCACCAACAAACACAGCTGAGGGGTGGCATCTGGCCTGTGGGAATGGCTGCACGGCAGGCCCTGACCATATGCCCAAATCAATGGGGGCAACCAACTATGCTTTGTTCCCACTCAGAAAAAGAAATTACTAACCACAAGCTAGGGGAGGCCACAGGGATTTCTGAAGAAAGTGATGTAGCAGGTACAAAATTAAAAGGCTGTAAAGCAAATCCCTGCTCTATGGCTGGTGGAAGCTCTCTGAGGCTGACCTCATCCCAGAGAGAGATGATTCAAGTGTTCATCCTCTTTAAGCTCTGCTCCTGCAAATGGTCTCCAACTTCATCATGGCAATGGTAAATGATCCCAAATGGTGCCTACCTGTGAAGCACTTGGCTTTCCCACCACTGTCATGGCAAATTCTGCAGAGAGTGATAACCATGCCCAGCTGCTATTTGCCTGCTGAGGAAGAAACCTGCTGCCATGTTATGGCTCACCGCAGGATGGGCTTTGTCTCCTGGCTTCACGCTCAGGCTGTGTGGCCAGACAGTTTTACCTTACTCAGGGCAGCTGTGTCCACAGAAGCCTCTAGTGGGCAGGTACACTCAGGAGCAAAGAGAGGAGAGGAAAAAATGATTCTCTGCATTTCACCTGAATTCATTATATTCTTTTCTGGATCAGATAGAGCCTACCAAGGTATGCTGCTGGAAAAAAAGAGATCTTACTACTATCTTCAACCACCCACCTGAGGGTGCAGAGAGGATGGAGCCCAGGCTCCTCTCTGAGGTATACTGGGATATGACAAAAGGCAGCAAGTAAATGGTGGAACAAGTGAAGTTTTTATCTGATACAAGGGAAAACAAAGATGATCAAACACTAGAAAAAGAGATAATGGTCTCTCCAACCTTGGAGATACCCAAAACTTAACTGGAGAAAGTCATGAGCAAGCTCTTGCAGAGCAGGGTGTGGACTAGAGACCTCCAAAGGTCCTGCCCGACCTGAATTAGTCTGTGAGTCTATCAGTGTTTGAGCAAACCTGGTTCTCACCACCACAGCAGCTATGCTATCTTTAAAAGAGTCCCTCAGCCCATGGGCTCTTCTGATCATCTTCTACTGCAGAGCCAGGGAAATGAGCTGTGGTGTGCTCCAGAGGTGGCATATGCCTGGACAGAAGGTTCTCCAGAGAGAGGTCAAGTCCCTCCAGGTCCCGGGCAGAGGAGTGGTCATCGTAATGGCATGCAGGCAGAGAGATAGGAACAACCCCAGGTGTTCCCCACAAGGAAGGAGGGAGGCAGAAATTCCTCCCCTACCATGGGCTCAGCTGAGCCAGCCCGATGAGTCAAGGCTTACTGTTCTGCTTGCTTTTCTAAGAGGAGATTAATTTCAGTGTACATTTCAGATAATCTAGAATCAGTCCTGAAGTGGCAGAAGTAATTTTAGATGAAGTTTGGCAAGGGAGAGGGGAAAGTAAAGGAAAACTTTTGTTCAAGTGAAATGACCCCTCCTGGTCAGGCTGCTCTCAGGCTGAGCCATCACAGCACATCCTTCTGGCCAGGAAATACATCTCTGTGCTGTCATCAAGCATCCTGCTACCCTTCGTCATAACCTCTTAGAAATGTCACTGCACTTCTAACATTTGCTGCTGCTTTCCATGCTGCACAAGCAATGGCTGGTCTCAGACTTGTTTTCAGATTTCTGTTGTTCTTCCTCAAACACAAAACTCCTTGAATTTCTGGCACCCGGTGGCTGCTTTGCAGAAAAGCCTTTGTAGAAAGCACGCAGGATTCAAACAGCAAGCCCTCTGAAACACGTAAGGGTCTGCAGTCCTGCACAACTTTACCTACTAGGAAGATTACGGAATTTATCTAAAACTTGGTTAGTTTTACAGCTAAACTGATTAATATAGTTCATAATTTTCAACTAGAAGGATTTGTCCAGAAAAAAGAAACACAAACACAGAATCACAGCACAGTTGAGGTTAGAAAGAACTTCCTGAGATCATCAGGCCCAAACCCCCAGCTCCTACACCAGGTTGCCAAGGGCTATGTCCAGACAGCATTTGAGTACCTCCAAGGATGGAAACCCCACCACCTCCCTGGGCAACCTGTGTCAGTGCTCAGTCACACTCACAGTAGAATAAGTGCTTCTGGATTTTTAGAGGGAGCCTGTTTCAGTTTGTGCCCATCACCTCTGCTCCCGTCACTGGGAACCACTGGAAAAACCCTGGCTCCATCCTCTATGTTCCCTCCTTTCAGGTATTTGTACACATTGATGAGATCCCCTGAGCCTTCTCCAGGCTGAACCATCCCAGCTCTCTCAGACTGTCCTCATAGGAGGGATGCTCTGGTCCCTTCAGCATCTTTGTGGCCCTTTGCTGGACTCTCTCCAGTAGCTCCATCTCATTTTTTGTACTGAGGAAACCAGAACTGGACCCAGCACTCCAGATGTGGCCTCACCAGTGCTGAGTAGAGGGGAAAGATGACCTCCCTTGAACTGCTGGCAAGAGTTCACCTCAATGACATGACATTTTCTTAAATAACAAAACAAAACGAAAACAACCAACAAATGGGCAACACGTCTACAAATGTCAAAAGAGAAAAATACACAGAAAAGATGCTGACATTTTCAGTAATTACATGCTCGGCTTTTCTGTTAGTGCAGAGCACAATCTTTTTTTGGGGGGATAGGGAATAGTATCAGGCTTTAAAATTTTTTATTCTCCTTCCTGCCATCCTTTCTGATATATTGGAAAGCACCAGGGTTGGTGAGTATGTTTTAGCTTTTTTTTAACCATGTCTAATAATCACACAAGTTGATTTTCTTTTGTCCTGATAAAGTTACTTTTTTTTTTCAGATCTAGTTTCTCTTTGGAATCCAAAGGGTTCTCCTTCGGATTTCAAGTCCAAATGTACATTTGCCATACGAATAACAATCCCT